ACCTGATAAAACGCCCCCCTGGTCACGGCCGACAAATGGTCTTCCAGTGTCAGCCGTGGATCCAGGAGGACACCCAAGTTGTGTGCCCTCTCTGAGGGGGCCAAAGTCTCGCCCCCTATAGTCAGCGATGGAGTCAGCTGACTATGCCGGGGCGCCGGCAACCACAGCCACTCGGTCTTGGAAGGGTTGAGTCTGAGTCTGTTCCTCCCCATTCAGCATCTAGTAGATAAACTGGGCCCTTTAGGCTTAAACACTCCTTTGTGCAACTGGATTCTTGATTTTCTTACTAACAGGCCCCAGTATGTGCGAGATGGAACATACATTTCTAACACCATTTTAAAGCAGCTGCGTCCTAAGTCCGCTGCTGCTCACCCTGTTGACCTATGACTGTTGTGCTAGGTTTGCCACCAACCATATTGTGAAATTTGCAGATGATACAACAGTAGTGGGCCTTATTCAAGATGACAGTGAGGGTGCTTACCGCAAGAAGGTTGAGGTTTTGGTGAACTGGTGTAAGGAAAACAGCATAGTTTTAAACATTGGAAAAACCAAAGAGATCATTGTCAATTTCTGAAAAGGCAGCCACAGCCACACTCCTCTGTGCATTAATGATTCACCTGTGGAGATGGTTACCAGCATCAAATTCCTGGGTGTGCAGTTAACAAATAGGCTGGCTTGGTCGCTAAACAGTGAGACACTGGTGGAGCAGCACCTGCATTTTCTGTGTCGCAAGAGAAAAGCACATGTTCCACTTTCTACAGAGGAACAATCCAGAGCATTCTGTCATACAGCATCACAGTCTAGTTTGGAAGCATCAGTGCTTCAGACAGGAAGGCGGTGCAGAGAGTGGTGAGGATGGCTGAAAAGGTTATTGGCAGTTCCTTCCATCCAGGACATAGTACATAAGCATTGTTTGAGCAGAGTTCGAAAGATTGTCTGGGACACGACACATCCTCTTCACAACCTGTTTTCTTTGTTACCTTCTGGGAGGAGGCTCTGTGGTATCCAAAGCAGAACATGCAGATTCAGTCACAGTTTTGTTCCATACAGTATTAACCTTCTGAACTCTAAAGCTTCCTCCTTCCATTATGTATTCAAGATGGACAGTGATTAATATTTATATGTTACTTATATGTAAGGGTGTAGGTCTATACATATGTTGTATATAGAATGTTTAAATGTGTGTTATCTATGCGTACACTTTGAGAACAAGCAACTAAATTTCATTTTTAATGTGTGCCATTGTGCCCACAGTAAAAAATGACAATAAAAGTTTATCTATCTATCATCTTATCTATCTATCTATCTATCTATCTATCTATCTATCTATCTATCTATCTATCATCTATCTATCTATCTATCTATCTAATTCAGGCAAAGCAAAAAAACATTTATTAAAGGATGGTCAAGTCTTTTTACTGGGTACAGAAACAAATGACAAGTGCATTTTGTATATGTGACACTTTAGAGCAGGGGTCCCCAACCTGATGGCTGTGGCTCACTAACGGGCCGTGGCTTATTTGCAACAGGGCCATGTGAGTGGTGGACACTGGTGCTCACAGCCCCACTCGCACACAAATGAAGATGTGTGCGTGTGTACCTGATGCTCACACAAAACCAAGCCCTCTCCCCCACGCTGAGCCACGAACCTTTAGAAAGCAAGTGATCGAACAATAAAAAAACATTTATACTTAAAAGTTTTAAGAAAAGTAAAACCCAGCTGGATTTATGGGTTACTCTTTCTCAGCTGGATTTCTATTTTTCTTAAAACTATTCTATGTGAAACTTGAAGAGAAAACATTGATTCTAGACAACTAGATACCAAAAGTGGCAAATTTATGGGTTTCATTTCTCTTAGCTGAGTTTGTATCTTTCTTAAAACTAGCAAGTGTATTCAGGAACTTTCAGAATAAGTTGTCTTGTTTAACATCAAAAACACAAATTGTTGAATATCAAATGGCTTGGTTAAGAAGGAGAAAAAATATTTTTCTGAGGTGAAAAAAGGGTCTAAACTGCCATGTTAAAAGTACTAGTATCACCTTTTTAAAAAAATGCTAATGCTGAAGCCTAAAATTTCAGGTAACACATGATTTGAGTTCCATGTAGCTAAACTTACATTTCTTGAGTATTTGAAAATGGTCAAAATAAAATGGCAATGCCTTACAGGAGCTGTTTTGACTGCATTTTCTGTTGTTGTTTTTAAAAAACAAGGATTTTAAAAAAAGACCAGCTTCCTATTCCAATTGTGTAAACTTATAATGCTGTATGCATGGAGGAAGAACAAAAACTGCATTTGATTTAATGTAACTGAAATTAAAACATAATTGATATGTACTGATAGAAGAAAATAGTTGTAGCTCAGGTTTGAACTTTGGAGTGTTCTCTGAGCTTGGTGGTTTTCTTGTAGATATTTCATTACCAAACTAGGTGACATCATCAGCATTACAAGAGAGTGGGGGTTGTCCTGGTGTCGTTACACCTAGTACAGTAATGAAACATCTTCAAGCAAACCACCAAGCTCAGAAAGCAGCAAGAACCCCATAGTTGATATGTTAGAATGTTTACTATCAATTTAAAATTACACAATTTTAGTATTTGGAGAATTCTGCAAACTATTAAGGATCATTTAAAGCCCTAGAACTTTAGGTTGTATATCTTTGATAACACTCGATACCCTAGTAAGGGTAACAAATTATTCAACTTTAGGGTACCTAAAACTGAAAAAAGAGAATCTTTGGCTTTATTTGATCCAGTGCTTTATTAAGCTAAAGGAAATAACTTTAAATATCTACTACTTAGTTCGGATGGAAAAAGGTTATCTATGTGGTCGCTAATGGCACATAACAGCACTTGATGACACATAATAGCAATAGCACTTAGACTTACTGTATATACCACTTCACAGTGCATTACAGCCCTCTCTAAGCGGTTTACAGAATCAAATCTATTTCTTCCAAACGCTAAATAACTCAAGCAATTTGGTTGTCATTGCCACTTGTTTGTTTCTTATTAAATTCATATATAACCCATTTCATTGTCCTGGGTTACTCTGGACTGCTTAGGATAGAATAAAATCATAAGTATCCAAACATTTAAATCCAAACATTAAGATTAAAATTAGCAACAATTAAGTACAAGATTAGAAGGCGAATTTATGTTTTAAAAATAATAAATGTTTGCCATTCCTGCATTTGAAATTATACCCAGTTTTGATTTTTATATTATTATTATTATATTATTATTATTATTATTTATTACTTATTATTATTTTTAATTATTATTATATTATACCCAATTTCACTGACTAAGGTTTTTCCGTGCCTTGCCTTCTTTTTTTGTTCATCGAAGAATTCTTAAAACTCAGCAACCATTAAGCTACTAGCCAACTCTATTTTGACGGGGAGTACAGTAGTGTGCGAATCCAATTCCACGTGATTAGCTTTTAGCGATCTTAGTGCAAGCTTGCACGTTTACGCAAAAGCAAATCCAACAGTTTTTTAAATTGAAGTTCATTTTGCTGCCCCCTACTGGCAGTGCCGGGGGAACCAAAGTCTGTCTTCGAACTGGGCGGGGTCTCCTTGCCTCCTCCGCATCACACGATCCCTTACTTCGCATCGCACGATCGCTTTAACTTTCGCCCCTTCCTTGAGAGGAGCGACGGTACCAGGGTCATGTGACCCACGAAGGGGAGGGGAATTCTGCCCTTATATGCCTTGGCTACAAAGCAGTTCTGCGCATGAGTTGACGGAAGTTTGCGCGGTTACATTCCCCACCCCATTCCCTCCGGCTCTTCAAGCCGGCAACCAGAAAAGAGGATGTCATGGCTTCAGCCCGCCTCCCTCTCTCGGGTGCCGCTGCTTCGTCACGTGACCGGCAATGACCCTCTCCCATTCTCCCCGCTGCTTTTTTTTTTCTCCCCCCCCCTCTCACTTTTTTCCGCCTGTCCCCCTTTGCCGGCCGCTGGATCACGTGACTCTATAAAGCGGGTTGCCGCCTGGAGTCGGGGCACAGCTGAGTAGAGGGGAGCGATGGCGGCGGCAGCGGCGGGTCCCGGGAGAGAGCGGGAGCTCCCGCCTCGCAAGGAGGGTGAGCGTGCCGGGGCTCGGGGAGCAGGGAAGGCGGGGCGCGGCAGCCGGGCGAGCCTGTCGGAGGCTGAACGCCAAGGCACGCGCGAACTGCCTCTCCGAAGACGAGGGCATGCCCGGGCATGAAGATTTCCATGGCTCCCTTCGCCCTTTAGCCTGAGCGCCTTGATGCTGCTCCTCTCCAGCCTAGCGCCTTCCTGAGGAGACCGACTCCCGACAGTCGCCGTCCCCACCCAGCGGGTCCATAGCCTCTGCTGGCTGAGGGTTGTAGTCTTGCCGGGCTGAGGAAGGGCAGGGCCGTGGGCATGTTTTGTTTTTGTCCGTGCGACAACCCTGCCAGGTAGGTTCAAGTGGCGGGCAAAAAACAAAACACTCGGCTGCCTTTTGGCTTCTGTTGCTTCTTCCTCGAGAATCTTGGGTGTGCTTTTCATTTATGGAGGCTTTTATCCTTGAAGTGAATGCCCTGCCTCGGGGTGACTAAATCAGTCAGGATTTTGAAACGACAATAGGGGAACCTATCCTAGCAGGAGAGTTTTATTTAGCCCTCCAAAGATGCTGAGCGGGATTCCGATGAGGATCTGATCACTGATGATTTAGATTTCTAAAGCCACCCGACTCGAGAGCAACTCTGATTCAAATTGAAAACAAAACCACAGTACATTAATACACTCCCCCACCCCATGGAGGGTGACAAGGATGAAGAAATAGGAATAGATGTACTGTACATCAGGAACAAATCCAGATTATTGCAAGACTGAGAAAAAGCCCCTTTCAAACCTGGGTGGGAGTGGGCAATGCCAAAGCAGATGTCAGGTGCTGCAACACAGTTGGAAATGTTTGAAAAGGTTCTTCGCATGGTCTTTTCTTGTTAAGATTGTTGTAGTCACTATATTCCGAGTGGCTGGTGCGCAAAGGAATACAATAAGTTCCTGAAAACCAAAGCCACAACAAAACGAGACGGTGAGATGGTGATGGATGCCAGCATCAAATTAGAAACTGAAAATCTAGTATAAGGGCAGTGTCTTCAGGAAGTTAATTAAAATGTCACAAAATCAGCACAGAAACTTTTCAATTCTTAACAAATGAAATGAGGGAAAGCAAAACAAATTGTATTGTAATGAAGCTGTGGAGTCTATATTTTAGTGGTTTCTAGATGAGGATTTTATAGTGCTAAGCTTCCTGTTTCTTAAGTGGAATATGCAAATGCTCCAAATGTATTCCAACTGTTAATACATCCATTTTTTAAAAATGTTATTTGTGTCCCTCCCTCCCTCTCTCTCACACACAACACACACACAGATATCCAGTAATAAAGAGAAAGATGGAGTAGCTGTGCAATGCTTTTTAATAGTAATGGGACTTTGCTCTTGATAAGACTTTGTCTCATAATCATAAGTTACAAATTCACAGTCAGTTTTGCTTTTCACATAGATCTTTTGGAGTGAAGATTTAATATGTTTAAAGGATGATAGATTTGATTTAAATCACTAGTTGGGTTCTATTAGTCATTACTTTCTTGTACTTTGATATAGAAATACATTTTTCAGTACTCTTTAATTCAGTTTCTGAAAAATGGAATTTCTATGGCATTTGATACACATCTTATCTGGAGATTCAAAAATTAGTCTCAAGTGATTCTGCATGGTATGCTGTCTCAATAGGATTTAATTCCTACATTTTCTCCAGCAGAACTCAGAAATTTATTTTAAGAAACTGTACGCCCACCACTCCTCCTTCCTCCTGTCCAAGTTTCTTCCATTTCTTCACCCTCCATCTTTGTCTTCTCAGTTTTACAAAGAGAGATAAGAACTTAATGGTGTGTCTGGTCAAAGTGCCCTAACTGCAAGATCAATCAATTGGTTACCATTAACCAATATGCCCATAAAATATGATTCAAAGTTCAGATGAATATATTGATGTGCTTGAATTAGATAAGATCTCAATAACATTTTAAAATGTGATTTAACTAAATTCCTCATTTTTTAAAGAAAAACAATTTTATTCATTTTGATTGCCTATTAACAAGTATATTAATATAATTTGGTAGTTCTGTTTAGATCTTATAGTTTAGTACTTGAACTATATTTGTTTATTCCCACCTACATTTCCAAATTTGAAAAAACAAGAGAAAAAATATTTCCCATTTCTGGCAAAACATCCTTTTGGTAGGCAGAAATCAAAACTAGCAAAATGAAATTATTTAACAATATTAAAGTTTATCTGAGCTACTAAATTTTAGAAATGTATCTAATAATTTGCCACTGTATTTTTTGACAATAAAATTCATTTCTTCACCAAAACTAATATATGAATTGGATTTGTTTTTCCCTAGCTATTGTGATGGGTGTTGTAGTTCTTGTTATTGCCCTATGTGGCCCTTTGTGTATTTTTTTTGTGTAGTCTGTTTATTTTTATTATAACCTTTATTGAATTGAGAGATGGTGCTAATGTGTATGAAGCATTAGTTAATTTTTTAAAAAATGGCCATGCTTAATCAGATTAAATAGCAGTATTTCTAATTCATCATTTTTTGGCCATAACAGAAATCTAAAACTTCTTAGAAGCCAGAGGGAATGTTCCCTGGGGAATTCTTTGAATTAAAGTCCACACATCTTAAAAGTTATCAAGGCTGAGAAACACTGTGTTAGATTATTATTCAGGGCAATGCTGGCTCTGAAAATAGTTCTGTTGTCTCTAGAAACAATGTAAATCTGTCTCATTACTTTATCAAAATCAAGTTGGTGATCATTATGTAAAGGACAAGTCCCTGCTTGTTAGCAACTTACAATCTAAATTTAGATCAGGAAGGTTGAAAAAGGCACAAGGTATAAATGTGAAGAAAACAGGAAGACATAACTTGGGGCATGTTGTATGTGGATCTTCAGACACTAGAGATGGCATTGACATTTCAGAAAAAATACTGTTTTATTCTGGTGTGAAACAAACGTTTTTAATTGGCACATTCTCTCGAGTGAATGAGAGACAAGGATGTATTATTTTGTTAGGCAAAGATTCTAGATCACATTCTTTGCTGATCATGGGAGAGATGTGATAGAATAGAAAACATGGGAGGTAGGAATATGTATGTGCAAAGATTCTCCAGAATATAGGCAAATGTTAAGGGGGGGAAATGGCTAAGTACTGAACTTTTTGCGAACCTGGCATCACTGCTAACCTATAAATCTACTTTAGCCATGCCGAGCGTATTTTAAAAAGAGGTGTCGGTTCCCCATTACTCTAACATCAGGTGAACCAAAGGCATTTTCTCTTACAAAATAATAACAAATATATGTACAGGTAGGCCTCAACTTACAACTGGCTGCTTAGTGACTATTCCAAATTATGACAGACCTCCCCAGGGCTGCTTACATCTGTTTGCAGTGTTCTGTAGTCACATGACTACTATTTAATACAATATTTTTTTTGCCAGAAACCAGCATTTACTTTCCATTTTCCACCCATTGAGGAGAACAGATTCACTTAACAACCATGACAATTCACTTAACGACTGCTGCAAAAAAGGTTGTAAAATTGGGCGTGGTCACCAGGTGACTCATTTAACTAACAACCAGAATAATTTGCAACCATAACTCCAGACTGAATTACGGTCATAAGTCAAGGACTACCTGCATAAGCTCTAAGAAACCCTAAGTCAAACTATTTTTATGTTATGGCTGTAAGGCAGTTTTTCCATCTTCAGGTCCCCTGTATACAATTGGATCCCAATTTCAATGGTGCTGCTGGCTATGATTTTGGGGGATTGTGCTTTTGACCTCTGTGTGAGCCAGGTAGAAGAATGTTGAAGTTAAGAGATAAATTATTTCTGGCTGGATGATTTCTTTATTAGTTCTATGGAGACAATAAAATAATGAACTGATAACTTGAAGCAATCACATGAAATGATAGCTAGGTAAATAATTAGTCATGATAAGACAGTCTTGAAATGGGTGGCACAGTCAAAAGAAATGAAACAGGAAATGGGTTTATTTGCTAGAACTGGTCAAGGAAGAACTTGCTGAGAGCTTTTCTTTCTCTTTTATTCACATTTGAAACCGGTAAATTTCGAACTGAGGGAAAGGGGTTTCTTGGTTAAATGGGTTAAATGGTGAGTCAACCATGTGAGTAAGAGAGTGCAAACATTCACATGCTACTCTGTTTAAGTTTGCTTCTTAGTTTCTGTTCATCATTGTTGTAGTTTCAATTCATCAGTCATCAGTTCCAACCCCTTGGACACTGCAAGGCTCACTACACTATCTCTAGTACAGGGGTAGGCAACCTTGGCTCTTTTATGACTCGTGGACTTCAACTCCCAGAATTCCTGAGCCAGCATGGCTCAGCTTGGAAACTTCTCCCTTTCTCCTCAGCAGGGCTGGCTCAGGAATTCTGGGAGTTGAAGTCCACGAGTCATAAAAGAGCCAAGGTTGTCAACCCCTGCTCTAGTACAGTGGTGGCGAACCTATGGCACGGGTGCCAGATGCGGCACTCAGAGCCCTCTCTGTGGGCACGCGCATTGTTGCCCCAGTCCTGGGCCTTCAGCTGGGTTTTATAAGACCTTTTCGCTTTAGGCCTCCACCGCTGTGTGCAAAAAAAAAAAAAAGATTCAATCAATCAGTCAATTTCAACTTCTCGCGGGGAAAAAAAAGATCTTGCAAAGTTGGAATTGATTGATTGAACCTTTTAGTCCCACCCAGTCTGCTGTTACCGCTGTAGCCACACCCACCCAATGGGCCACGCCCAGCCAATGGGCCACACCCACCCAGTGGGCCACACCCACCCGGCACCCGACGATGCATAAGTGGGTTTTGGGTTGCAGTTTGGGCACTCGGTCTCTAAAAGGTTCGCCATCACTGCTCTAGTAGATGAAAACCTCCATGAAAGGTGAAGAAACCACTCTGTGCAATGCATAATTTGCTCCAATGACCAGCAGCTCTTACTCTCAGGTTCTTCCTAATGTCTAATTTGTATCAACATCCTAGAAGTTTCATCCCATTTGCTTTGTTTTACCCTCCGAAGCAAGGAAAAATAGTCCTTAGCCTTCTACAGCAGGGGTGTCAAACTGCCAGCCCGCAGGCCGGATGCATCATAGCAAAACTGCGCCCATCCCATTGCCAGCAATGGCAAAAAAGTTGTGATACGTCGCAGCACGTCACGTGATGTTGCGAGTTTGACAGCCCTGCTCTACAGTGTGACAACCCTTCAGATATTTAAAGATAGCTTTCATGCACCTTCTCCACGCTTTCTTCTCCAACCTAAACATACCTAGTTCTTTAAACCATTCCTCATAGGATTTGTTTTCAAGTCCTTTCACCATCTGGGTAGTTCTTCTCTAGACTTGCTCCTGCTTATCAAGTGCAGGACTCGGCACAATACTCTGAGGCCTGACCAAGGCAGAGTAGAAAAGAACAATTACAGTAAAACCTCTGAAAGTTGACCACCCATAGGACTGAACGAAAGTGGTCAACATACAGAAGTGGTCAACATACCAGAACAACTGTATTGATCTGTACACCTGCCTCGTTTTATTGTAGGGCTTTTATTAGAGAATGTCATACAGAAACACACGTAGTAAAAACACAGGAAAATCATTCATACAATACTGTATCATACAAAACCATACATTTACATGTGTGTTGTTTTCTCATGGTTTAATCATTCTTTCTGGGGGGGAAAAGTCAGTTTTAGTCTGTTCCTTATTCTCGTTATGAAGGTAAGTGGAAATAGCACTCTCAATGCCGACTATATCACTCAGCATACCTGGACATTTTTCCATGGCAAATGACTTTACTTGCATTATCAAATGACTGACATCCTCTTCTTTTGGAATATCTGCAATTTCTGTGTCCTCCTCACTTAATTCACTTCACTTAGGGTTAGGGTTAGAATTTTGCTTCTGCAAATGGACCAGCGTTTTAGCCATGACCCACAGCATAAGCTGGGTGCAGTAGTGCATTTCGAATGTTTTGATTATGCCTTGGTCGAGAGATTAAATTTTTGATGTAGTATTTGGAGGTAAAAATTTCAGTTTCACCTTGGGTAAGATGTTTCACTTGGAGATGGCTAGGACAATTGTCCACTACAAGGAGAATGAACTGTTTCTTCTTCATTTCTCGATCAATACCTCTTAGTCCACTTCTCAAATGGGGCACCAGTCATCCATGCAGATTTGTTAGATTTCCAGGTGACAGAAGATTTTTGGGCTGCAGGCTCTTGAATGAGTGTGGCTTTGCAATTTCACCAATCACCCAAAGGTTTTAACTTCTCTCCGGTTAAGCTAACGCACATCAGAACTGTGAAACATTCTTTAGAAAGTTTTCCACTCTTACATTTGTCATAACGAAGCTCCTGTAAGGCATCTCCTTGAAAAAGAGTCCATGCTCGACAGCGTTAAAGACTTCATCATCTTTACTGCTGAATCAAAGTCAAAAATATTGTATTCTTTGGTATTCTTCTTGAAAGAAATTCATTGCTACCAATTCTGCGTTTCACTTTTCTTACCCTTGATGCAGACTGGACTCAACTGGTCACGTTATAGAGAGTAAATGAATACTATGTGTCAAGGTCCAGATGGTCAAGATACAACTTACAGAGGTGGCCAATATAGAGAGGTTGGCTTTCTGTATGTCCGGTCTACAAAAATTAGGTTAACTTAGGGAAGTGGTCAATGTAGGGAGTGCTCAACTATCCTGTCATACAGCATCACAGTCTGGTTTGGAGGCATCACTGCTTCAGACAGGAAGGTGTTGCAGAGAGTGGTGAGAATGGCTGAAAAGATCATTGGCAGCTCCCTCCCTCCCATCCAGGACATAGCACAGAAGCGCTGCTTGAGCAGGGTCCGCAAGATTATCTGGGACACTACACATCCTCTTAACGACCTGTTTTCCTTGTTACCTTCTGGGAGGAGGCTTCGTGGTATCCGAAGCAGAACATTCAGATTCAGCCAGAGTTTCATTCCATACAGCATTAACCTTGCGAACTCTCAAGCTTCCTCCTTCCGTTATGTATTCAAGATGGACAATATTTAATATTTATTTGCTACGTATATGTAGGGATGTGGGTCTGTACATATGTTGTTCATAGTATGTTTAAGTGTGTGTTTCACTTTGAGAGCGGGCAACTAAATTTCATTTTTGATGTGTGCCATTGTGCCCACAGTATAAAAATGACAATAAAGGTTATCTTATCTTATCTGGACGCTACGCTCCTCTTGATGCTCTTCAACAGGTTTATGGCCTTCTTTTCAGCTGCATTACACTATTGGAATAGGTTGAACTTGTGATTCAAGAGTACATCTGAGTATTTCTTCTTGAGCCAGATTTACCCTGTCCTGTACGTACTTCTTCCGTCTTCCTTATCTAGTTGCATGGTCTTACATTTCTCCCTACAGACAGTCCACGGCTTACCACAGTTCATTTAGTGACCATCGAAAGTTACAAGGGCATTGAAAAAAGTGATTTATGACCATTTCTCATACTTACGATCATTGCTGCAGCCCCATGGTCACGTGATCAAAATTCAGACACTTGGCAGCTGGCTCATATTTATGACGGTTGTAGTGTCCCGGTGTCATGTGATCCTCTTTTGCGACCTTCTGACAAGCAAAGTCAGTGGGGAAGCCAGATTCATTTAACAACTGTGTCACTAATTTAACAACTGCAGTGATTCACTTAATAACGGGTTGTAAAATGGGGCAAAACTCACTTAACAACTGTCTCGCTTAGCAACAGGAATTTGGAGCTCAAATGTGCTCGTAAGTTGAAGATTACCTGTACTTATTTTTTAATCTTACTTGTTCCTGCCTGCTATTCTAGCCTAAGTCTTTTTGGATTTTTTCCCGTCTTCCCTAATATTAGCTACCCCTCCTAGCTTTGTTTTGGCTTACCATGTTAAACAATTCAAGCTGTTGCCATTTATTAGGCACGTCATAACAAAATATGTAAACTATGCCACTTGTGATAATGGCACGTGCCACCAAAGGCAGCATTTCATAGTGTGATTGTGCCAGTCAATTGATTTCTGCCATTCACTGAGCAAGATGTGATGACAGACCGTCATAGGGATTAAATGAGTCACAGAGAATGGAAACTCTTCATATCCTGGGTGTGGGATCCCAGTGCAGGCACTCCTCGACGTACGACCACAGTTGAGCCCAGAACTTCCTTTACTAAGTAAACGCAGTTGCTAAGTGAGTTGTGTTTCATTTTGCCCTGGTTGTTAAGTGAAACACTATAGATTTTATGTGAATTATGTAGTCATTAAGCAAATATGGCTTCCCCCATTGACTTTGTTGGTCAGAAGCTGCCTAGGAAGGTAGCAGATGACCATCCCAGGACACTGCAACCATCGTAAATGCATACCAGTGGCCAAGCCCCTGAAGTTCGATCACCTGACTGTGAGGTTTGCGGCAAGGGTGATAAGTGGGAGAACTGATCACAAGTCACTTTTTTCAGTGCCATTGTAACTTTGAATAATCATTAAACAAACAACTATAAATCGAGGACTACATTCAATGGTGTGAAGCAGGATGTTGGACTGGGCGGAGCTTGTTACTGTTTTTGATCCTGGAGACCTGCCTTCCCCTCATAGCTCAGGTTCTCATGCTGCTTTTCTTACCTTTCAGGCACAAGTTCAGATCAAATCCTTCAGACGGGAACCATTCTTCTCAAAAGGTGAGTACTATATTTTCAGCAAATATCTAGACCAGGATTTCTCAACCTTGATGTGTGGAATTCTGGCAGTTGAAGTCAACACATCTTCAAGTTGCTAAGGTTGAGACGCACTACAGATAGTCCTTGACTTTCAACAATTCATTTAATGACCATTTGAAGTTACAATGGTACTAAAAAAAGCGACTTATGGCTGTTTTTCACACTTATAACAGTTGTACTTAATAAATGTGGCGAGAAAAATCATAAAATGGGGCAAAACTCACCAAATTTCTCACTTAACAACATCAATTTTGGGCTCAATTGTGGTTGCAAGTTGAGGACTATCTGGACTCTAGAGCAGAATTCCCCAATCTTTCCGTGAACACAAGCACCCATTGCTCACGCAAGGGGGACATGAGCATGAGCACCCGCGACACGCAAGTGGGGACGTGAGTACCTGCGATGCTCATGCAAGTGGGGACGTGAGCACCTGTGATGCTCACGCAAGTGGGGCCATGAGCACCCGCAACCCTCACACGAGGGGCTGTGAGTGCCTGCAACACTCATGCAAGAGGTTGTGAGCACTTGCGACACTCACGCAAGTCGGGCTGTGCCCACAATGCTCATGGCGACACGAGCACATTCTCGTGGGGCCACAAACGCCTGCGATGCTTGCAGTGACGATCATGTGAGGGGCTGTGCATGCATGCATACACGCATGCACTGGCCAGCCACTCACACAGCCCAGTAGCCAATAGGCCATGGTCCGGTAGCGGACTGCAGCCCACAGGTTGGAGACCGACCCCTGCTCTGGAGGCATATAGTTCCCCTCTTGGAGAGACTAGCAATAAAGCTGTGACTTTGAGCTGCTGATTCTTCTGCAAAGACCTGCAAGGACAAAGCTGGTAGAGATCTCAAGCTAAAAAAATTTGTATGATTTATTTTATTTTACTTGGACCCTGTTTCAGCTTTATCAGGGATCGAATCCAGTGCTGTGGAGATTCGGAACGCATTGAGGTGACGATGGCAGAGCTGGATGATTCAGAGGCTCAGGCTTGTAATCCCAACACCAAATCACTAAGCGAGTGCCTGCGCCGGATTGGAGATGAGCTGGATGGAAACACAGAGCTGCAGTGGTACGTTTTGGCGACTGACTGCGGTGCCACCACTGCCGCCATTACTTCTTTAGAAGTTCTAAATCAGGGGTCTTAAACTTGGCCCTTTTATGACTTGTGGACTTCAACTCCCAGAAATCCTCAGCCAGCATGCCTGACTGAGGAATTGTGGGAGTTGGTCCACAAGTCATAAAAGGGCCAAGTTTGAAGACCCCTGATCTAAATTGTTATTTGTAGTCCCATTATTCAAGAACACTTCTGAACAACATTAACAGTTGGGGGGGGGAGAACTCTAGATAGACCTTGACTTAAATGCAGTGGAGCCCAGAATTTCCATCATATGTCATGATGGTCATAAGTTAAGGTACCCATTTGACCTGAACCAATTTTATGATATATTTATATTCTAGTAGTTATAAAGCGAGCCCATTGTCCATAATGGAGGCAGATTTTGTCAGAAGCTGGAAGTAAACGCCAGTTTCCAGCAAAAAAAACACACACCACACAGGGTAATTCGTGGTCATGTGACCTTGGAAGCTACAAATGATCATAAATGTGGGCCAGTTACCAGGTGCCCAAAATGTAATCACGTGACTGCTGGAGGGTGGTGCTGCCATTGGAACTTTGAAATCCAGGTCATAAGTACCTTTTGACGGGCATGGTAGTTTTGAACAGTTGCTAAAATCCCCAGAGTTCAAATATATATATACCAGCTATTCGTCTTCTGCCTGATAGAAGTAAGCTTTGCATTCATACAGTTATTGCTTTTCTGTCTTCTGTTAATCCCTTTGACACCTCTGTGTAATCTTGAATTGATTAAATCAATCAATTAGTTTTATCTATATTTAAGTAGTGCAGTGTGCAGAGCATTGTACAATAAAAATTAAATTAAAGCCTATATAATTGGCTAGATTAGTTGATCAAATGCCATTTAAATTGTTACAGAAGATTGTAGTCTAACAAATCCTATACAGAGTACAGATACACTTGGACAATTTTTAAAATAATTATATTAATAATTTTTGGTAGGAGCCCCCAAGCCAAAGCTAATGCCACGTGAATTGCTCTGGATTGAGTGTTGCAAGGCAGGGTACCAGGACTAGGAATATTACGCATTTATTTGATATTGCCAATTTGATGCTAAGCGAGCCTGGGAGTCTCTTAGAGGAAATTTGAATTAATTGGATAATGCAATTTTTTAATCTACCTGATTCTTCACACACAAAGGTTTTATCAGAAGGGAATTGTAGTCCCAGCACTTTAGGAAGGTGTCTGGATGACAAAAGCAAGAGGGCAAAAAAGAGCCAGTTTGGTCTAGTGCAGGGGTAGGCAACCTTGGCTCTTTTATGACTCGTGGACTTCAACTCCCAGAATTCCTGAGCCAGGAATGGCTGGGGCTCAGGAATTCTGGGAGTTGAAGTCCACGAGTCATAAAAGAGCCAAGGTTGCCTACCCCTGGTCTAGTGGTTAAGGTACCAGGGTAGAAAGCGGGAGATGGTGAGTTCAAGAACCGCTTTAGCCATTAAGCCAGAATTATTTTTGTTAGGCATAATTGTAGGAAATTATGAGAAAGAGTTTATATATCTAATTTTACATGTATTAACTGCAGTGAGAATTGTATTCGCTCAACATTGGAAAAATGAAGATTTACCAATGGAGGAAGAGTTAATTAAAAAAAAATTTAGATTGTGCAGAAATGGATAGATTGACGTTGAAAATGAAAGAGAGAGAAGAATCAGTATATTTTAGAACATGGGATAACTTTTATCAATGACTAGAAAAACGAGGTAGAGAGAAAGGAATTTAACATGTATTAATAAGTTAAATGTTCGAAACCAGACAATATGTTGCTGATACAATATTATATATAGAGCTGATAGGCGCGACTTTTGAATTTCGTCCGGAGACTGACTTCCTTATAGATGCTGATACCAATGTGATTTTTGCAAGCGAGCTTTTTATGAGCACATGCCATACTGTAACCGTTTTAACTGTTATTTAAGTGTATGCACATGCTCCCTTGTCACTCAGCCCTTGCTCTGATGATGTCAACAGCTTGTTGATGAAAGCTTAAAGAGGGATAGAATCAAGATCACGTGAAGTATTAATACCATTTTACAATGCCTTAGTAAGGCCACACTTGGAATACTGCATCCAGTTTTGGTCACCACGATGTAAAAAAGATGTTGAGACTCTAGAAAGAGTACAGAGAAGAGCAACAAAGACGATCGGGGCTGGAGGCTAAAGCATATAAGGAAAGGCTGCTGGAATTGGGTATGTCTAGTTTAATGAAGAGAAGGACGAGGGGAGACATGATAGGAGTCTTCCAGTATCTCAGGGGCTGCCACAAAGAAGAGGGAGTCAAGCTATTCTCCAAGGCGCCTGAAGGCAGGACAAGAAGCAACGGATGGAAACTGATCAAGGAGAGAAGCAACCTAGAAGTAAGGAGAAACTTCCTGACAGTTAGAACAATTAACCAGTGGAACAACCTGCCTCCAGAAGTGGTGAATGCTCCAACACTGGATGTTTTTAAGAAGAGACTGGACAGTCATTTGTCTGAAATGGTATAGGGTTTCCTGCCTGAGCAGGGGGTTGGACTAGATGACCTCCAAGGTTCCTTCCAACTTTATTATTATTATTATTATTATTATTATTATTATTATTATTATTATTATTATTATTATTATTATTATTATTATTATTATTATTATTATTATTAAAGAAGCCTTTTTTCTTACATCCTATTTCTGGTCGTCTTGACAACCCTCTCACTTTCTGCTTCCAGGTCTGGTGAATTTCCTACAAATGACTTCAAAGAGTTTAGTTTTACAGAGGCCAACATTTAATTCTACTTGGATCATTTAAAAAAAACAACTGCATTGTATTAGGCTCCCTGAGCTTCTCCCAATATTCGACTGGGACTATCTAACTTAGGCTGTTTTTGGTTTTTTTGCTGCACCCTACAGGATGATAGAACAAGTTCAGATGTATCCCCCCAAGGAAGTTTTCTTTCGAGTGGCGGCTGAGATGTTCTCGGACGGTGCTTTCAACTGGGGCCGTGTGGTGGCCTTGTTTTATTTTGCATGCAAGTTGATCCTAAAGGTAAGTATGTCATTTCTAGTCATCCCGTTTTTGAGACACCTTCCCCAGTTGCTGTCCATTTTTTCATGGACTTACTTGGCTGTTTTCTCCTTTTTCAATAGGTAGTGTGTAGTAAATTACCAGAGCTCCTAAGGACTGTCATCAGCTGGACCATGGAATATATCCAGGAACATGTCCTGTCCTGGATCCAAGCCCAAGGAGGATGGGTGAGCTTACTTATTAGACTTTTTTATGCCAGCTTTATTACTTTATAAGTAACTCAAGGCGGCAAACATGTATAATAATCCTTCCTCCTCCTATTTTCCCCACAACCATCTTTTGAGATGGGTTGGGCTGAGAGAAAGTGACTGCACAAATTCACCCAGTCAGATTTCCTGCCTGAAACAGGATTACAACTCACAGTCTCCTGGTGACTGGCCCAAAGTCACCCAGCCAGCTTTCATACCTAAGGTGGGACTAGAACTCACAGACTCCTGGTTTCTAGGCCAGCATCTTAACCACTACATCAAGCTGGATCTCATTTACAGTGTAAATGTCATTTAGAGCAGGGGTCCTCAAACTTGGCAACTTTAAGACTTGTGGACTTCAACTTCCAGCTGGCTGAGGAATTCTGGGAGTTGAAGTCCACAAATCTTAAAGTTGCCAAGGTTGAGGACCCCTGATTTAGAGTTTACAGGGACTTTATGTTGACTTCCTTCAGATAAGAAAACTTTTATCAAAGATGTGAGCAGATTTCAGTTTTTTAATACCAAAACTCCAGGGCCCACGAACTGAAGCTTTGTGCAGTATAGTTAATTCTCAACACAAGCATATATTGAGATGAGTTTGTGTGGCCCACCAAGCTATGATTTACTTAACCATATGGTATACTAATCCATAGTTCTGCGTGTGTACAGCACACTAAGCCATATACTCTGGCTTTAAAAAATACTGAATTCATACAGACTGAGTCAAAGCCAGGCAAAGCACATGTGGTGAGAACTGGTCACATTGATCTTGGTAGTTCACTCGAGAACAGAGGCTATCAAATAATTAAAATTCCTTTTTATATTTAACAACAAAAAGAGGGGAGGTGTGAACTGCGAAGTGTTCTTAAAGCTCCTGTCTCCTCACTCCCTCCTGTATGTGTTTTCTCCCAGCTGAACAATTCCTGTATCAACATTCTGGAGAACCTGAACATTTCTTGAATTTGTGCCCTCCCCAAATTTCCAGGCGTCATGGATTTTTATTTAAAAAATTTCTTTCCCCATAACCATGACTGGGAAACGAAGGCTGCCTGTGTGGTTCAGGTGTTGGGTTGATCCTGGTGGGGGTGGGGGGGGAATGGACAAATCAAGACCACCATTGCTGGATGTTTTTTTTTTTAGGTGCTCTGTCTCAGCCCGGTCTCCTTCACAAGATCGCTGTGAAGATAGAAATGCAAAGGGAGGTGGGGCTTTCACCGGACAACTGTAAACATGACATTCTTACCTTGAGGCTTGTACAGGTAGTCCTCAACTTATGACTGTCATGGAACCTGACCGTACAATCACAACTCAAGGCAGTCATAAAGAGACCAATCCAATTGTTCAGCCTTTTTTTCTTTTTTGCACAGTCATTAAGTGAATGCCACGGTCATGAAGTGAACCAGTTGTTTGCTATGGGGCCTTTTTACCCAAAAGTGGAAGTAAATGAGAATTTTCGGCATTGCAGTCTCATGCCGGTAGGACACTTTCAAATGGCCATAAAGGCGAGCCAGTTGCCTAGCCCCCTGAAATGCAGTCACATGACTTGCGGCTGTCAGAACTTCAAAACCAGGTTGTCAGTACCTTTTGGAGGGTCCGTCGTAAGCCACAGGTCGTAAGACGAGGATTGCCTGTATTTTGCTGTAATGTGTCTTTGTTTTACCGTAAGACGTCTTTGTTTTCTCCCTCCCTTTGTTGTTTGTCCCTTCCAGGAAGGCCTCCTCTCCTTTTTCGGCACCCCCACTTGGCAAACCATTGCTGTCTTTGCTGCGGGGGTCTTGACTGCCTCACTGACCTTCTGGAAGATGTCTTAATCCTCAGCCACCTCCATAAGGAGGACCTTTTCATTACAAGAACAAGTGGAGGAGGGGCAGGTTCCCCCCCACCCCCATTTCCTAAGCAAGAAAGAAAACGTTCTAGGATTCCTTTTCAGACCTGTGTTGGGGAGCTTTTTAAAACAAATGCTGTTGCTCATATTTGGTGCCTTTTTTTCAAAAAAAAGGTGCACACTTTTTTGTTTTGATGAGTGTGTACTTCTCGCTTTGCTTTCTCCAATCAATCAGCCTCTTGGACTTAGAGGTCCGAAGATGTTAAGATTCTCTAGTTTTGAAACAATGACGGAGAACAAGGTGAAGGATGCCGGTGACTTGCTCTCTCTGCCAGCAGCTTCTGAATAACTGCTGGATGTTTATACTGTTTTTTGGAAGATTAATCCCAGATTTCTTCTGCCAACAATCCTAGCAATGCATTTGTTCAGCATCTTCAGATTAGATGTTTTCTAAGGGATCCGTGCAAACAAGTTTTGATATTTTATATTTTCCTTTTCTTGAACAGAAGCTGAATTTTGGCAAAATCCTGATAGAAAACCAAGTTCTCCCCTTACTAAACTTTGCATATTAGAATAAATTACACTTCTGCTGGTATATCTACTTTTTTTTAATAAAAGAAACTCAGATCACTGATCTGGTCACAATCAAAGTAGAGAAAACCTTTACGAATCTTTAGCAACTATTGATGTGTACAGGACTTTTAGGGCTGACTTTTTACAAAGGAACTGACTGTATTGCTGGAAAATGAGAATTTGGAAGCCATCTTTCGTTCTGCCAGATCTGTGTTTCTCTATAGAAATGCTCTGAGGGACGCTAAATAGAAACATGTTCTAATCTAAATGGGTCTGTTCCCAGTCCAAAAAAAAAAAAAAAGGTGAGAAAAGTGCTTTATAAAAGCAACATGTCTCCAAGTGGAGCGCAGAAGACATTGCAAGACTGAGACTAAATGACTGGAAGATTCCCTTTCCTTTACTGCTTCATTCTGTCCTCATAGAAATTAACTTTTCACTTGCCTTGGAGATCTGAGTCAAGAAATGAAGAAGAGAGAATGCAAAGGGCTTCTGATCTATTTATTCTACAAGAGAGATTTTTTTTTTCATTGCTCGCTTCTCCATTTCTGTATTTTACCTCAGCCTTCCCCAACCTGGTGACCTCTGGAAGTTTCTCAAATAATATGCTGGTTGGGAATTCTGGAAGTTGCAGTCTTAATCCATTTTGAGGAGGCCAAGTTGAGGGAACCTGGTTGAGTTGAATCACCCTTGGGGTTTCTTAGTCTTTAGACTCAGCCAAATAAAAAAGAAATCTCCAGGAATTCCAGCAAATCATACTCTCTTCTACCATGTCCTAGTACTTTGTATCTCATTATAGCTGTGATAACGGTTGAGACATTCGGCTGCATGTGACTATTGTAGGTTGGGGGTTTTTTGGCTTTTTTGGCTTTTTATGTTCGTGTGTGCAATGCTAAACATTGTGACTGCAGCTCTATGTGCTAAAGATGGAGCATCTGCATATATGCCCCCAAAATATGCCCACATATTGATACCCATTTTGAATTATGAACTTCACGTTGATATTTATTGGTGTGCAGGAAATATTTATCATTCTCTGATCTGGAATAGGGACTTGTGATCCTCCAGATCAATGTTTTGCAAACTCAGCAACTTAAAGACACGTGGATTTCAACTTCCAGAATTCCCCAGCCAGAATTCTGAGAATTGAAGTCCACACATCTTCAAGTTGCCAAGGTTGAGAAACATTGAACTGGAGGATGTTGCTGAATTAAAAATCCCAACAGCTGCCATGGTGGGTGTTGCCGGGAATTGTACTTCAGCAGCCTCTAATGAGGAGGTCACAGATTCCCACCCCTGCTTTGAATTTTTCCCCCAAAGTGTTTACATTCATTTTTCCTTTATCTTCCTTGTCAGTCAACGGATAATCAAAATGTGTCCTTATACTTCTTTACAGCATTTGCCTTGGAATTCTAGTTGAAACTGTTCAAGCTATATTAAACTAGAGGGGGTGGGCCAAATAATACATCGTTGAACTATTTGATCAAGAGCTCGGGTATTGAAATTGTTTGATTTATCAAGCGAAGTGAGAGGCAAAAAAAAAATCAGCAATCCCAGTTCTATTGTTTATTAGGTGACTTTTGGTCATCAGTTTTCCCTGTTGCTGTCACAACATCTTTGTTGTTTTAGCTGCCAGGAATGGAAGACGGTGTAGTTAGTAGCTGTGCTATTCTACATTGGGTTACCAGGGATGGGGAACTATGGCCCTTTTATGATTTGTGGACTTCAACGCCAAGAATTACTGAGCCAGCCATGCTGGCCCAGGAGTTCTGGGAGCTGAAGTCCACAAGTCATAAAGGGGCCATAATTCCTCACCTCTGGGTTAGACTATTGGTGTCTTTCACATAGCTTAGTCCAAGCCCTGTTTGTGTGATGCACTGAACAAGTAATCTCTGCTAGTGAGGGAGCATGTATGCCAGTTTGAAAGCTCACTTTGTTCTTCCCCCACAATAAGGTTGCCATCCAGGATTCTTTTCATCTGGTGCTGTACCTTCAAATCGCAGATGCTTCCAAGTCAAAGAGCTAAGATACAACCATTGAGAATTTGGGTGATCCCATCCATCAGAGATTTGAGTTTAAAAAAAAAAAGCTGGCACATGGGGTTTAAACTGCCCCCCTCTCTGCCACTTGTGGCTTCCTTCTCATCATGTTTTGTGAACAAAGCCAACATAAGCTATCATTTGATAATGCTAGGACTGCCAAATCTGACAGACATTGATAGGTAGCAACCCTCAAGTAGAAGTCAAGGAATTCTTTTAGATCATTCTTCGTTGCAAAGAAATAGTTATGGCCAAGCCAATGGCAGAAGATTTTTAAGGGTATGATTGTCCAGTTCTAGAAACCTGCTTTTTCTCCATCCTCTTGCTAATTCTAAGTGAGGTATCCCTGTCAGACTTCCTGATACAGTTGTACATTCTTCCATCTGTTGTGCTCAGTTTATATTTTGGTAGTGCATCAAGCTAGGCTAACATCTGGGATCTCTTTAATCATCCTTTGTAGATTTAGCCAGCTAATGACCCTTCTACTCATCCAAGCACATTGGTTCAGCCGGATGTTACAAGTTGCGGCTGGAGAAATGAAATGAGATATAAGGTTTGGGGGCAGTGAATGCATTGGAGGCAGGATTGGGTCAATATGAATTAATTGTACTTGAATAATTATATTGGGGAGGGATTTTGTTACCTCAGGGGGTTGGGTTAGGGAGGGAATGAATTGCCATTAAGGGTTGGGCTTAGATAGGTTGGGCAAATTCCATTTTTCTCAGAAGGGCCAGAAGCAGAACAATACATAATATATAATAGGTTTGTGAACGCTGAGGCTTCTGTTGCAATTCTTTAAAGTATTTTGGGGTGCTGTGGATTTTCATAATATAATAATTTTGGAATTGTGAAGTAAAAGAGTCCAGGAGTGTGAATTTACTGGACCTGGGGGTGGGTTGGATTGGGTTTATCTAGATCTTTGGATTATTTTTTGTAGTGCTTTGATATTTCAAGCTGTGAGGGTTTTTTTTCTCTTTCTTTCAAGGTCTCTGACTCTTTGAGGAAGTGTGGCTTATAGAGTTAAGGTAGCATGGCTGTGTTTTATGGCATTAGTTTGGGATTAGCAGGCAATGATGCTGTGGAGTTTTGTTTTGTTTTTTGCCAGTTGGCTATTGTCAGTTGAGATTCAGTTATGCCTAAATCTGTGCGTGTATCACCCTGGATTTGTACCTTCACATGGATGATGCTTTGTTTTTCTTCAGATGCTTGTTTTGCATCAGGCTTCCCTTCCCCAAATGTATGGGGGACCCTTCTCGTTGCACCAGCACGTTCAACTATTCTTTCGCCACCCAGTGGTAAAAGTACATGCACCTTGCACATTGGCAAGTAGCCAGTATGAGGCAAGTAGCTGTAACAAATAACGCTGGGTGGATTGCCTCTGGACATCCACCTTTCTTAGCCAATAGTCTTCATGGATGGGCAAGCTCCATGGGGCCAGAGGAACTGTTCACAGGATGCCCTCCTGCTCCATATCCCCTCAGCTCAGCATAGGACCCCTGCGCTACATCAGTAGATTGCTGAGATGAAGAGTAGGTCTTGCCCAAAAGTTCCTGTTCCAAGGCTCCAAGATTAGCCAGATGTAGTTTTGATGGTTTCTCAGCCAACTTAAGCTCTTGCCATCAGATTCACTTCAGAAAACCTTTATTTGTTCAGAAGGCAATGAAGGAAGGAAACAATATTTGATACTGTCAGCCCTGTGAACACAATTCTCTTAACTGGCCTCAGCCTGGTATCTTTGCCTGCTTAATCATACATCCTAACGAGCTGTCATGTTTTTAATCAGGAATTAGATTCTTGAATTATGTATATTTCTGGGGTTTGACATTACCGCAAGAGGTCTGCGGGCCTGAGACACAATGGCCGACATTGGCGTTAGCTGTGCTTTTTAGGATGGAATCCAGTCACATCTGATTGTAAAGCCAACGTTATCATGTACCCAGGTTAGCTGTTCCACTGTTCAAGTTTATTCATGTCTGTATTTTCTATGCAATTGACCCTTCCCTTACTTAGGCAATAGTTTCTACACTTTTTTTAACAAAAAAAGAAATTTTGAAATCTACCTTCCCATTTTATAATTTTTTAAAAAAATGTTTGATTCATCTTTAATCTGTCAACTGAAGTTACAACGGATTGTTTTCGTTAGTGTGGAAATTAAAAACGAAAAAAAAAAATCTAATGTGCATGTTCCAGAGTTGTCTGTATAGAAATGATGATGGTGTAAGAATCGATAACTGATAACAAGGGTATCACTTCAGTAGATTTCAGAAAATATATGTGATTTTTGTGTCTTCAGCGATATATATGTTACTCAGCACATAATGTACTTCAGTTTTTTAGGACTAAAAACTTAGTCATACTGTACATCTCTAGGTCTATTGTTGCAAAGTTAGTTGGAAGAAACACCCAGTCAGTCCCATCCATACCTTCCTTGTGTTCACCAAGGGAGGCTACACCTCCAATATTGGTGAATTCAATAAAACACTGCTGACTGGGGGGATTCTGGGAATTGAAATACACACCTGTTCAAAGTTGCTCAGGCTGGGAAACATTACACTAAGCCAGGGGTAGGCAGCCTTGGCTCTTTTATGACTCGTGGTCTTCAACTCCCAGAATTCCTGAGCCAGCCATGCTGAGGGCAAAGGGAGAGGATTCCAAGCTGAGCCATGCTGGCTCAGGAATTCTGGGAATTGAAGTCCACGAGTCATAAAAGAGCAAGGTTGCCTACCCCTGCACTAAGCCATAAGATGTGATTTGCTAATCATAATTCCTGGGTTTACACTATACAGGTAGTCCTCAACATACAACCACAATTGGGACCAGAATTGCCATCGGTAAGCAAGGAAGTTGTTAAGCGAGTTGCATCCAATTTTATGACTTTTTGCCACAGTTAAGTGAATCACTGCCATTGCTAAGCGAATCATGTGGTCATTAAGTGATTCTGGCTTCTCTGCTGACCTGGCTTGTTGAAAGCTGGCTGGGAAAGGTTGCAAATGATGACATGACCCTGGGATACTGCAGCCATCATACATACATGCCAGTTGCCAAGCGCCTGATCATGTGACACGTGGACATTACAAGAATTGTAAGTGCGAGGACCAGTTGCACGCCACTTTTTTCAGAGCTGTTGTAACTTCAAATGGTCACTAAACAAATGGTTGTAAGTTGAGGATCATCTGCATTTGGCCACGCTGCTCAAGTATATATAATGCTGGTCTCCCCAAAAAATCTCCCAGCAGTTTACAAGGTAAAAACGTCAGAAAATTGATGCCTACATAGTAAAAAAATCCATAAATAATCCACCCATCATGGTGCCCATTCGCTGGTGACAGCGGTATAGTTAAAATTACACTTTGTAAAAGTTTTGAAGCAGCTGGATCTCCACTGCTTTCCCAAATGTCATCAGGGAAGGTGTGGTCCAGGGCTTTGGGGATAATAAACTATTCCAGGGGTCTCCAAACTTGGCCACTTTAAGACTTCAACTTCAACTTCCAGAATTCCTCAGCCAGTCATGTTGGTTGGGGAATTCTAGGAGTTGAAGTCCACAAGTCTTAAAAGTTGCCAAGTTTGGAGTACCCTGAACTATTCTCCAGGGGTGCAGGCATAACAGAAAAACATTGTCTTCTGTCCCTTAATCATTAAGGGAAGTCTGTCAACATCTTTCTTGGGAGAAGTGAATTAAACAGGCCAGTTCTCCCAGGGATTACCTGGGTGCTGAGCCATGATGGGCTGTATGGATTGATTCCAGCACTCTGAATTGTGCTAAGAAGCCGATTAGTAGCCATGGCAGTACTTGACATGGGTGTGAATGCGGTTGTAATGGATGTCCTCTATCAGCAAATGGGCTGCTGTTCTACATCAAGTGGGGCTCCCAACTATTTTTTCAAAGGTAAGAGTTTAGTGAAATGCATTGCAGAAGTCAAACCTAGAGATCATACTGTAAGGTCGTGAGTTACTTTGGTCCACCTTCCAGTTCTAGAAAGGACCATAGCATGCATCAGCTGGAACTGAGCAAAATTTCCCCAAGCGGAGCTGCCACCTGTTTATCAGCAGTAGCCATGAGCTATTAATAACTTTTTTTCAGCCAGATTATTTATAATATTTTGCACAGCATTGAATTAGCAAGGAGGTACTCCACTCAACCATTAATCACCAACTTGATGGATACTTGTGTTGAGTACAATTGTCCACCAGCTCTATACAGTATCCACCTAATTATAGCATAGCTCTATTTTTTTCTATCGGAGTATCAGGAAATCAAGGTAAGAGTGTATTCCTCTGGTCAACTAAACTGGACATTCTAGCAAAAAAGAGGGTTGGGTTGGGTTCATTTGCTCTATAGTATACATTATTAACATACAGCACGTTATTTTCTAATTTTGATTACAAGGCAAAATGCAAATAGAAATAACAGAAAAAAGATACAAAGATTTTTTTAAAAATTGACATAACTTTTTTCAAAGTACAAGAAAAGTTACAACCTCAACTTTTTGCTTCTCATTTCTACTTCATTCAAACCATTTCTATAACAACAAAGTCAACCAATAAAAACCCAAAATCATTTTTTTTCCCATTCGGAATTCAGAAGCAATTGCCAGGTGGAAACAAAACTAGATAATTTGTCTTTAAAACAGTCAGTTTTGCCATCTCCCCCAACTCCACAGTCAGTTTTGCCATCTCCCCCAACTCCACCGTCTTTACCATCCCTTCTTCCGTTATGGGAACTGAAGTATCTATCCATCTTTGTGCATGTAAAACTATCGCTGCTGTCTATATATATAGTAAAACAATTCCAACTTTTCTTTCAAGTTCTTTATCCATCAAATGAGAAAGAAAGAGTTTATGGTATGGAGCTTCTCAGTCATCCAGGTCATAGCTGTCCCAAAGATGCTTTTTCAAAACGCAACTGGACTTTGTTTAAGTCCAGTTGCCTTCTAAAAAACACCTTTGGGACAACCTGAAAAAGACTTCCAGTTTCAATTTTATATTAAGAATCCTCTGAATTAAAATAAAGATCTGGTCTCAATATTTCTTCGCTTTGCTACAAATTCTGAGATGATAAAAAGTATCCTCTTTACATTTACTTTTTCAAAATACATATGAAATTCCTTTATACAACTTTGAAACACTTTCTTTTTTAAATGCTCACCAGCTTCCTGCTTGATAATACCTTCCAGAACTTTGCTGATATCAGTCGAGCCCACCTTTCTTTAGACAGCCAGATCTGGCCTCATATATAGCTGTATCTAGCATAAATGGGGCATTCCCACGAAGGATGAGGTCATGGGATAGGGCAGGCCTGTCTGAAGGAATTATTAAATAGGGGTGTGGTGGGCAAGGCAAGTCCAGAAGAAATGCATTTATGGCCTGAGTGATGCAGATGAACCTCTGACAGGCTAATCCACATTTTCCTCATCCTGATTTACCAACTGCTGCATAGCAGTTAGATTCACACAACATAATAAACCAAAATGTTAAGAATGCCCATTAGCAGTATGTTACAGTATGAGAATTCGGCCAAACGTCCATGGGATTATTCTTGGGTTGAGTTCACAAACCTCAGTTTGCCATAAAGGAGTGCATCTCCATCTAAGCAACTTGAAAAGATGGGGACTTCAACTCCCAGAATTCCCCAGCCAGGAGAGAAATTCTGGGAGTCGTAGTCCACACCTCTTAAAGTTGCTGAGGTTGAGAAGCATTGCCATAAAATAACCGCTGTACCCGCTTCTCATGGTGGGTGTTTGGAGGGCACTTAACTACAGCTGTAGCTTACACAAACCACAACTAAGCTTACGATGTGTGATCCACGTGTGATCCAGGGCAGGCTTCATGGTGCAAACCTCATGCCTCCTCAGAAGTTAAATGCAGAGTGGGCTTATGTCAAGAACTGCATCCGTCATTTTGCAATTCTCCCACATTTCGGGGACGGAGTGGAAATCCCCTCAGGAACGCCCTTAGTTGGCTCCCTCTTTCATTTTCCCCGGGACAGGAAGTTGCTCTGTAAGGGGGCCGATCCTCCTCGCCTGGATTTCGATATGGCTGCGGAGGGAAGCGGGAGGAACCGGCCGACGGCCTCAGCTGCAATTCCCGGGGAGCCGAGTAAGAACGTTGTGCAAAAGAGCGGCCGGTTTATGTCCCCAGCGGAGAATGGGAGGGAATGAAGGGAGAAGTTGGAAGTTCCGGCTTCCGAGGCTGTTTCAGCCAGCCGCATCCCTCGGCACAGGCATAGGCATAGGCGGGTTCGAACTGCTTCAGAGTTTACGGTGCTGCCCTCGGATAAATTGAGAAAACTAGTTAATTTAACCAGGGGGCTCTGTATCGGGCAACCACAGTCAGCGTAAAAATAACCCCGGACTATAGGATTCCACTAGGGCTACATAAGAGAGCTTGTAGCATGTACAGATAGTCCTCAATTTACAACAGTTCATTTAGTGACCGTTCAGTTACAAGGACATTAAAAAAAAGTGATTTATGACCATTTTTCACACTTATGACCTTTGAAGCATCTCCATGGTCATGTGATCAAAATTTGGACGCTTGGCAACTAGTTCATACTTATGACCGTTACAGCATCCCGGGGTCATGTGATCCCCTTTTGCGCTCTCCTGTTAAGCAAAATCAATGGAGAAGCCAGATTCACTTAACTGTGTTACTAACTGAAGAACTGCAATGATTCAGTTAACAGCTGTGGCAAGAAAGATTGTAAAATGGGGCAAAACTCAACAAATGTCTCACTTAACAACAGAAATGTTGGGCCCAATTGTGGTCGTGTACTTTAAAAAGGGTATGTGAACCGTTCGGCAAGTTAAATGTGTAATCCATAAAGCATTATTTAAAGAGAGAGAAGACTCCTTACTAGATTCTTTAGTCAATCAGTCCAAAATGCTCTTGTGGTTTCTTAAAATAAGGACTAAATAATTCCTTGGCTAAATTCACACAACAGCTAAACCCTAAACTTGGACTAAGAAATCTTAACTGCTGTGCTCATGTAACCTGTTATGCCCAATCAAATTAGTATAGGCAGTCCTCGACTTACGGCCACAATTGAGCCCGAAATTTATGTCGGTAAGTGAGATGTTTGTTAAGTGAGTTTTATGTACTTTCTTACCACAGCTGTTAAGTGAATTGCTGCAAATGAGAAATTAGTAACCCGATTGTTAAGTGAATCTGGTGTCCCCATTGACTTTACTTGACAAAAGTTTGCAAAAGGGGATCCCGCATGACCTTGGGACACAGCAACGGTCATAAGTAGGAGACAGCTGCCAAGCATCTGAATTTTGATCACATGACCGTGGGGATACTGCAAAGGTCATAATATGAAAAATGGTCAGTGCCATTGTAACTTTGAACAGTCACTAAATGAAATATTGTAAGTCGAGGACTACCTGTATAGAATTGTGCCCAAAAAAGGATTGGCTCCTGCTTTTCACTGACATTGTCAATGAGAGGAGAAACCCTGGAGTCTGTGGCTACCCGCTTTAGTTTTTAGCTTATTCTAAATAAGATTTTATTCAAAAGAAAAATTATTCGTATATGTTAAAATATTAGTTTTTACAAGCTGCATTTGAACATGAGACTGAACTATAGGTAGTTTGCTCTGTCATGACTGAGTTCCTACAACATGCCAAGCCAAACAAATCACCCACCTTACAGGTTAATGTAGGAGTAAGCAGTTACCTTCTTGTAGACAAGGGAGGACCATTCCTAGCATTTCAGTAGGGCACAGCGGAGAAGATGCAGTGGTTACTTTTTCCCCAGGAATTTTATTTGTCTTTTTAAATGGTGTAGTCCTTGACTTACGACCACAACTGAGTCCAAAATTTCTCCTGCCAAGTGAGACAGTTATTAAATGAATTTTATCACATTTTATGACCGTGCTTGCCACCGTTGTTAAGTGAATCACTCCAGTTGTTAAGTTAGTAACACGGTTGTTAAGTGAATCTGGCTTCCCCATTGACTTTGCTTGACAGAAATTTGCAAAAGGTGATCACATGACCCCGGGAGACTGCAACCGTCATAAATACAAGTCAGTGACCAAGTGTCTGAATTTTGATCACATGACCATGGGGATGCTGCAATGAGCGTGTGAAAAATGGTCATGTCACTTTTTTCAGTGCCGTTGTAACCTTGAATGGTCACTAAACGACCTGTTGTAAGTTGAGGACTACCTGTATCTATTGCAAGACTTATACTGAAGTTCTACATCTGTTTCTCACCTCAAAATGACAAGAAATCGTACCCTAGATTTTCCATATTCCTGATCAGAAGAGCCTCTAGGCCTAGGGGCCACAGAAGGGAATCTGAGGCCTGCTTAGTCTTGATGGTGAGCCCAACCCATTTCTTGGCAACTGGCTCATATTTATGATGGTCGCAATGCCCTGGGGTCATGGGATGTGACCTTCTGACAAGCAAAGTCAATGGGGAAGCGGAAGCCAGATTACCTTCACAACCATATGACTAACTTAACAAATGCAGTGATTCACTTAACAACAGTGGCAAGAAAAGTTGTAAAATGGGGCAAAATTCACTTAACAAATGTCTCGCTTAGCAACAGAAATATTAAGCTCAATTGTGGTCGTAAATCGAGGACTACCTGCAGTCCACTTCCCTTAAATATCAGGAAATCGTAAGCCAACTTAGCAAGTTTGCAGGACAATGAATTAGAGGTCAGTTCGGATGCAAATGGAAGGTAAAAGACTGAAATCTTTTCTCTTTCTTGCCAAGGACTTTCTGACAGCATCTCGTGCATCCTTCGAATTGGGAAAGCCTTATTGTTGGGGTAGGCAAGATTTATTTATTTTATTTATTTATTTAAAATGTTTATATAGACGGACTTCTAGTTTTGAACCATAGCGCACAGTCGAGGGAATTGCGGAGCTCTGCACCCTACGGCTAGTTTTGCCCTGCCAGGGGACCCTAAATGGGTCTAAAGTCGCCCCGGAGAGGCACCGAAGAAAGAGGGGTGCCCCGATGATCACGGAACAATGGCAGTCATCCCGCTCGATCCAGGGGAAACCCTTTAACCCGACAGGAGAAAGGCTGGCCCACACTTCAGTGACCAGCCCAAGCTACTTGCAGCCGAAGTCCAAAGGCACTAACCAGAGCAATGTGAAGAGCGTGCTTGAAACTGGGTGAGGAATTCGATCTTCTGTCTCTTATTTTGTATCTGATTTCCTGGAAAAGATTCCCAAGAAGCAAAAATCCTCCCAAAGTGAGGGGACTACACCCCACCCTCCCATAGACGGAAGCGGCGAATTAAAATGGGGAACAAAAATATATTAAAATGAGGTTAAAAATACTACAGTCTGGATAAATTTGAAAACTAAGAAAACTGTTAAAATTCCATACCTGAAAAAAAGTATTGATGAAATTTAATAATAATAATAATAATAATAATAATAATAATAATAATAATAATAATAATAATAATAGTAGTAATAATAGTAATAGTAGTAGTAGTAGTAGTAGTAATAATAATAATAATAATAATAATAATAGCAACAACAACAACTTTTTGCTTTAAAAGCTGGAAAATGAACAGCTACTGACACCTAGTGGAAAACTAGAGAAAACTATAGTTGCATTGACTCAGAATTTGGCAAGACACCCAGAAATAGCAAAAAACAGCTGGGAACAAAGCATTGGGCTATCTACTACAGAGTGAAATTATATATGTTTAGAAACTGCTGACCTTCTGGGATTATAAACTGAGCTGCATTTTTAAGTTAAAGACTGTTTACAGAGAAAGAAAAACCTTGAGCTTTGGTTAATCTTCTAAAAAGGAAGTTACTGGAAAGCTTTCAGGTTGTTAAACACTTTGGATTGAAATCTTGGCTGGTTGATAATCATAAGACCCCTGAAAAGAAGAACTTACAAAATATTGTTTTCAGTGGTGCTTTGATAATTGGAAACATATTGAATTACAATAAACATATATAAAGATAAGAACTACACAAGATTTGGTTGTTTGGATTTTAAGATGGGCTGGTTAGCTAATTAAAGAGACTATGATATCTGTGAAAAACTACTTAAGAGGATGGATGTTGTATATTTATCTAAAAGTGACAGAAAACCACACCTAACACCTCCTGCTGAAGACCCCAGCGTGGAACATCAGAGATCTGCAGGAACAGAGCAAATACATTCCAGGAGAAAATATATGCAATGCTGCAACAGAATCAAATGACTATTGTCTTAAATCAGGGGTAGTCAACCTTGGCTCTTTTATGACTCGTGGACTTCAACTCCCAGAATTCCTGAGCCAGCTGGCTCAGGAATTCTGGGAATTGAAGTTCACGAGTCATAAAAGAGCCAAGGTTGACTACCCCTGTCTTAAATCATGATGAGATTAAAAACAACATTGATAACATAAATGAACATATCTTTAACCTAAACTCACAATTCATTCATTCAAATTTAATTTGTATACCGCCCTTCTCCCATAGGACTCAGGGCGGTTCACAGCATATTTAAAAAACAGATATTATACACAAATAAAAAATACAAAAATACAACAATATAAACCCCAATAAAACCGAATTAAAAACCAAATATTGACGGCTGTGTTTCCAATTAAAATTACTTCTAAAATCATCCCTA